GCACCAAAGTCAGCCGTGGGGCTGGCGATGGGAACACTTCCAGCCCTGTCCAGTGTCACCTCCACTCTTTAGCCTGACCTTGCACTCTCTGCCCAGGAACTGGCCCTGCTGAGCTGAGCTCTCTTATCCCTGGCTCATCTTCCAGCCCAGCAGTTGGAGCCTCACTGGCCCTGAGGAGAGCTCCCTCCTCCCCAGATACCCTTGGGTGGAACGCAATCCTTCCCTGGTGGTGGGGAACATCTGGTCTACCACCACTTATGGTGGAACATGCAGGAAGGGTGGAGGAAGCGGTGGCTGGGAGGGGAGTCCGCATCTACCTACCAGGCAAAAGGTTTTTCTGAGACTTTCATTCTAAACCAGGTGTCTGGCCCCTAAAGGACAGGGCTAGTCTGGCCTTCCTCCACTGCTCCCTAGTCCTTCTTGAATCTTCTGTCAGTTAGTTCCTGGAAATCAACAACTTAGACTTTTAGCCTCTGTTTTTTTGTTTACCAAAATGTTTAGAATTCTGAAAGGAGAAGGAAGAACTTGAAATAATCATTCGATTGAAGACGGGACACCTTAGATTGGACCTCAGTGCCCTCCACCCCCAAGGAGATGACACTGGCAATCAGTAATTCTCAGGGACACAGGATCCTGTCTCTGTGCCTCCTTGCTTTCCCTACTTGCCAACCTCAGCCTAGAAAACACCAGACCTTGAGACCCTCTCCCTGGTGCCTGGGGCGGGGGGGGGGGAGCTTAACATCATTGGGGGATGGCAATAGAGGGGATGGCCAGATTCCTGAGCCACGGACCCCTGAGATACCCTGAGTGTGGAGAAGGGGTCCAACAGCTGGATGCAAAGGGGTGTCTGAATCTCCTGCTCGTCCCATGTGTGAGAAGCAGCCATTTCCAGCCCTGTAGGAGGAACTGGGGCCCTTGAGACCATAGTGTGATTTTGACCCAGTTGAAACCAGGAATGCTGGAGGTCGAGCATGTGGGCAGCGGCCTGCCTGCCTTTTGATCTGGGCGGAGATGTTTGTTGAGATGTGTTTGCCACAGAGGACTGGCCGAGGCGCCAGCTGACTTTTGTCCTTTCCCTCCCCCATAGCCTCTGAGGCCCAGGGGCCCACTTTGGCTCCTGCTTGGGCTGGCCTGGACAGGTCTTTCATAGAACTTCCTAAGGACAGGAGCGCTGGCCTCTACATCTGGCTCCATCCCTGCCTTCTGTGGGGTGAGGCAGCTCTTCTGTTCCCTTCTTGCCTGCCCTTTCAGAACAACACTCGTGAACCCCAACCCCTGGTCCCGGGCAGCAATGGCTCCAGGGCAAGGGCTCTGGGGAAAGGCACCTCCATCGTGGGCTGACCCCAGCATTTACAAGCTGAGTTTCTTGGGGCAACTTACTCTCTGCAAACCTGTGTTCTCACCTCAAAGTAGGACATCCTTATAGCACCTCAATTATCAAGTATTATGTGCAATAAATAAGGTGAAATACATACAAATCCTTGAGTGCAGTCCCTGGCACTCTGCAGTTCTTACAAATGTGAGCAGAGGTCTGAGTTCTCTCCTCCTCTGCCTTCATTTGCATCTATCTTCCTTTTAGGATTGGCAAGTGCCAGGAAGAAAGAGTTCTTCTGTCATTTCCCTGTTTCTGTGAAAAAACTGAATGGAATAATGGGATGAAATGAGGCAAAATATTGCATTCATCTTTCCCACCTGATCCCTGCCATCATCCAGGTTAGTTTTAGGGTACAGGTTGGCATAAAAGGCCAACGATTACCTGGCCTCTCCCCTAGAGTCCCCCAGACATCCAGCCCACAGCGGACGCTGCCTGTCTCTGGGGTGGCCCAAGTGATTAAGGAAATAAGTCGGCTTGTTCAGCCCTGGACACCCTGATATTCAGCCTAGGCTGGGCAGTTCTTTTAGGCTCCCCGAGAGCTAGCGGGGCCTGAAGGACACCCCCACCCCAGGAAACTTTGTTTTCTTTTGGTTTGGTTTTCTTCCAAGTTTGAGATTCTAGGAAGGGCACGTCTGCCACCTGCTGGTCGTGAGCAGCACAGCACCTGGCGGTCCCTCGGGTTGCCAGCCCTGAGAGTTGGCTCTCCGGCCCAGGAGAGCTTCCCGGTAGCCTGTGTTCTGAGTTGGGGCCTGAGGATGTTCCCCGAAGTCCTCCCTCCTGTACTGACCACTTCTCATGCCTGGTGGTGGCCAGGCCTGGCCCGTGCGTTCAGCTAATAGGAGAATTCAGGTTTCTCCTCAGGGCTGGGCAGAAACGTAGGGAGGGTCAATCCCTGCCAGTCTGACAAGCTCCTTGGAGCAAATGAAGACAAAGCAGAGCTGATCTGACAGGCTGTGATGAGGATAAGATTGCAGGAGGGAGACTGGGGTGACATTTGTCCTGGGGGCTCTCACATGCCCCTCTGTGGAGCCTCCCCAGCACCCCAGCCCAGATGGATGCACTTCACGTGCTCCTTATCCAAGCGCCTCAGCCCAGGAACACCTCTGAGCCCTGAACCAGCCCTTCCTAGCCAGGCTCCCCACTCCCCACATGCCCACCCTCAAACAAAACACGCACCCCGTCTCACTTCCTGCAGAAGCAGGGCTGGGGGCGTCTCATGAGGCCACGGAACAGCCACAGTCCAAATGACAAGTGGCTTGCTCAGCCCTGGACACCCTGATAGTCAGCCTAGGCTGGGTAGTTCTTTTAGGCTCCCCGAGGGCCAGCGGGACCTAAAGGACACCCCCACCCCAGGAAACTCTATTTTCTTTTTGTTTGGTTTTCTTCCACTTTTGAGATTCTGTTATTTTATAATGTGTCAAGCAGAAAAATGCGAGCAATAACACACTGAATATTCTGCAGCCAGATAGATGCAGCAATGAATAGTTTGCCATGTTTGTGGTCTCTCTCGCTCCCTCATGCATGAATCTGGTTGGTGCATCTCATCGTGGGCTGGTCGGCTAAATCATTCACAATGAAGGGGCACATGTCATCCTCACCTTTGTGCCAGGCTTTTCCTCAGAATAAGGGCGATTTCCTGCTGAGCCTTAGCAACATAGCACTCTCGGGAAGTCCATTGTTGATGCAGTAACACTCCCGCCGTGTTCAAGCATCCCAGTTGTCCCAGTAATGGCACCATGGAGAGTTGAGGCTGGTCATTTTGTGTGATGCCCACAGCTTGGGTCTGGCATGATCCTCACAAACAGATTTGGGGTAAGGATTTTTGTCAAAAATCCTGCTGTTGGTATTCGCCGTCCATACATGGTGTGAGGTGGCGGCCTTTCTTTCCTGATCTATCATCCCTGTAGTTCTCAAGATGGGTATAAAGAGGCCTGGGTGAAACTTCTGGGGAGGACAGAGGAAGTGAGTCTGCCGGTGCCTAGGTGGATGTGGATGCTGGGAAGATGCTTTGCATTGTCCTCAGCTGCCAAGCTTTCTGGCTGCCAAGCTCCCCAAGGGACCATGCCCAGTGATAGGACTCTTGTTCTCTCCATCAGAGGTGAGCACTTCTGTAAAGAGCCAGGTAGGACATGCAGTCACGCGTGCCCTATGGATGTCCTTGGTGGGTGATGGACTCCATACAGGATGCTGGGCGCGGTCAGCTCTACCTCACTAGGGGTGTAGAAGCCTGGATCATCTCATCACACTCAAAGATGTTCACACCAAGGTGAAATTGTCCAGTGACACAGTTCTCTGAAGGCAGCCCTGTCATCAAGGGACTTAGGGCCACACTGTCTCTGTTACACCTCCTCTGCCATGGCCACTCAAAGCGACTCTGCACAATGAATCAGTAAATGGGCGGGATGTGTTCCAATAAAACTCTATTGAAAAACATAAGTGATGGGTTTGCGCCTAGGGCGTTAGTTTGCCTTTGACTTAAATGAGTGAAAATATTAAAGCTATTAAAGAGTGCAACTTTCTTTTTCTGGTAAATTCAGCATTAAAGAAAAAAAAACCTGTTATTATTTATTGATTCACCAAACCCTTCCTGAGGGGTGCCTGGAGAACCAAGCTCCATGCTTGCATAGAGGGTAAAACATCAGGGACAAAGCAGGCGAGGTCCGCCTGTCTGGAGGGCTGAGTGGTGTGCGACAGAAAACATGCAAATAAGCAAGTTCCAAAGGACAAGCTGTAATGTGGATCGTGGAGGAGGTGAATGGGGGTGGGGGAAGGAGGGGACAGTGACAAGACAATGGGGGGAGGGTATCTCGCTTATAGGGGGAGTCCAGGAGGCCTCCTTGAGAGATGACAAGCACTGCTGAGGCCCAGCAGTGGTCATGGGGGTGCGCTTTCTGGGCAAAGAGCAGCAAGTGGGAGCTTGGCTAGGGGCATTTTGAACCTAGCTGTGTGACCTGGGGCAAGTTGCTTCCCCTCTCTGGACCTCAGTGTCCTCCTCTGTAATTCAAAGGGAGATTGATTAGGGTCAGGGCGAGGGAAGGGGATGGACAGAAGTTTAGAGGCACGGCAGAAAATTGCACTTTTCTAAGAGCAATGAGAAGCCGCTGGAGGGTTGGGAGCACCTGCGCATTCCCAGCTCCAAAGAGCTGTTGCTGGAAGCAACCCCTGAGCATGAACCCTAATCCTATCAGATGGGTGTAACCCCTGAGCCTCAACTTTCCCATTTATAAACAGACCAACGCATGTGTCCTCTTAGGGTTGTTCAAAGATCGAGTGCAGCGATGCACCACGAGGCAGCTGAGGCGATGCTGTCAGTACGCCGAAGTCACCGTAACTGACCAACCGACCCCACGGTTTCTCCCCGGGCAGCGGTGCTGTCCCAAGGGGACTTGTAAGTGCCAAGTCACAAGTCAGCACTGAGGAGAAAGGCCAGTGTTTCCCACGCTCAGCCAGTGCAGGAAGGCGTGGACTTTCTTAACATAGGCCCCCCGTCTCCCCACCCCACCTCAGCTGACCCCCTAGAAGCGCCCAGTGCCCCTGTGCCTCAGGAATGACAAAGCTCCATGCAGGAGGTGCCCAGCTGGCTCTGCCTACTCAACCTTGTTCTTCTCTGTGTTTGCTTTTCCAGTTCTCCCCGATATCTTCACCCTCAGACCTGGACCCAGGTGAGTGTACAGATCGCCCTGGGATTCCCCACCAACCACAGGCTGGTTCTGCCTTGGAGGAAAGGGGTCCACGCATATAAGTTTTGGAATAAGCCCAGGATTCTTATGGTTCAGAAAACCCCCTTTAAAAATGCACTCCTGGGGGTTGGAAGTGTGTGCACACACAACGCTGTGCGCGTTTTCCAGCTGCCCACTCCCTCCCTGGATGCCCATCTCAGGATCCCAAGGGAAAAATTGCTGAGGCAGTTAAACCCCTTTGTATTTCAGAGGAGGACACTGAGGTCCAGAGAGGGGAAGCAACTTGCCCCAGGCCACACAGCACATTAGTAGCTGAGGTGAGATGCAAAGGCCGAGGGAAAGTGAGGGTGTCACTGAGCAGGGACTAGTTGCAGGCAGGCCACCCAACGCATGCCACCCTGGGGTGGGGAGCTGGTAGGTCTCTGCTGAGAGGACAGTGTCAGGGCCGCAGGGGCTTACCCCCCTGCTGATGGCCTCAGCCAGCACCCCCACTGTTGTCCCAGATGCCTGGTCTGCTTACTCAAGACTCAACAGGCCCGCAGTGCAGTGACCGCTGCTCTCCCTTCACTTGGACTTGGTCTCTCACCTCTCCCACTCCTGCTCCCTCGCCCGGGGCTCTCAGCTGTGCCCAGGATGAGCAGGGCTGCCTCTTCCTGCTACATCAGCTTCTCTCAGTCTCTGGGTGTGGATCTCCCTTTGCTATTCCGGACCAGAGAAGTGAACCCCCACTTCCAAATCCTGCCCCTGCGCTGGTCACCCATGGAGAACGAGAGCCAAGAAAATAGCACTTGGAAATTGCAGTCACACTTGAACTTTGGGTCCAGAGTTTATTTGAAGCAAAGATGGTGATAATTGGGCCAAATTCGGCTTGACACTCACCAAAGCCCTGGATGGCCAGACAGACATGTGTCAACCAAGGCAAGCGACGTCTGACTGTTGTCCCATCCGGTGTGTTCAGAGAATGTTTCTAGATTGGAGAGCAATCTAGATTAAACGATTTTATATGAGCAGGGTGGGTGACGTGTGGAGAGATCTATGAATTGCCCCAAGCAGAGTTGAGTGTTCAAGCCAACTGCCTGTGGCAGCTCCTGGAAGACTCACCCTCAGAGGGCACCCCCTGCTGGCCACACCAGCATCCACAGGTGGGGCGCCAGGAGCGTCCATAGTCTGGGGCTGCCCCTTCTTTAGTCTCAGCCCCACGCTCCAGGGAGGGGAGCTTTGGCGTGGGCGTCAGAGAGACTGCGCAGGGCTGTGAGGCTGCACAGTGGGAGAAACTGAAGCCTAGAAGATGCAAAGACGACACTCTCTTCAAGTGAGATGACCTGCCCCTTGTCCAAGAGGGAGATTTTGTGGGGATCAAGAGGGGGGTCTCTACCTCAAGACACTTTACTGCTATTTGCCAGAAAGTTGTCAAAGACATCCACAACACCCTTGATTGTGCTGTGAACAACGTGAACAACCCTAAGTGGTGGGCCTACTGCTCGGAGATCAGAAAAAGAGCGGATTCTTTCTTGGGCTCATCAGGTTTTAGCTTGAATTAAATAGATCGGAGACTGCAGAGTCGGCTTTGATCCTAACTCTCAGAGTCGTTCCAAAAATCTGAACAGGCTGTCAGCCGTTGAAGGAGGAGTTCCCCATCACTGGTGGTATTTCAGCACAGGCTGGGGGTGGAGGGTGCGGGATCTATCATCCTGAGATTCTGGGCGCTAGAAGAACTTTGCCCATAACTTCTGACGATTTAGTGAGTAGATGAAGGGACCCTGGAACACGCCAATGCTGGGCACCCAAGCTCATCTCTGGAAAGAATGTCAACCTTTGGCTGTGGAGTGGGGTGGCTGTAATGGTGGGGCCTTCTGCAAAGAGCACATTGTATTAAAAAAAAAAACACCTCAGTTAATATCTGATTTAATTTGACCTGGGGGTAGCAGGACCGTGCTTTGATGGAATTCGCCAGACCTGGCTGACTTTAGATAGCGGTGTGTCCAAGGAATCACTGAGCTCATGTCCCAGGAAAGCTGCTTCTTTCTTCATCAGTCTTACTGCAGATAGTGCATGCCATGGGCGTTGCTGGAGCAGAGGGTGCCCAGGCCATGGTCCCCAGTGGGTAGCAGAGGACACAGCACAGACCCCTGTCCCCAGGGCAGGTCCCCAGATATGTCTCTTTAAAGCTGGCTTGGCTTTGCCCAGTCACAGGGGCTGAGCCCATCCATCAGCTGTCCTGCCGCCTGCCAGCGGGGTCTCCTCTGCGCTCGCCCTGTCAGCTGGATTGGAAGCATCAAATGCAGGCCGACAGGGCTGGGACTTGGGGGATACCCTCGGAGGAACCGTCTCTGCCACGGTGATGGATGACGCCAACAGGGACAGCATTCCAGGGATTTCTGTTCCGTTCCACACATCTGGCAAGCTCTTTAACCCGAGCAGCTGCAAAGCCCCATCACAGGAACTCTGGGCTTTTTGTGAGAGACCTGGGTGTGGACCACGGTAATCCTGGTCCAGGGACCTGGAACATGTGCTACATAAAAAAGATCTCCCAGAGCCTGTTGCTTCCTGGAAGCTAAAGCCACGGAGTTTATGGAACACAAGCCACACGAGGCTCTGGGGCTCTTGGAAAGCACAGAAGTCCCCATATAATTCCCCCCCTCCTTGTTTTGATCCTACCAAGATGGAAATGCATACATCGTGCAAAAATGAACATAAAATAAAAATGCTCAAAAAAAAAATTAAAAATTGAAAAAATAAATTATCCAGCCCAACAATGTGGGAAAAAAAGCAAAGCAAAGCAAAGCACAGCAGGTTTGCAGTTTAGGTTGACATGGGTTTGGGTGCGGCTGCTCCTGCCTGTGTTTCCTTCTCTGTGAAACAGGAGTGAGACCTATGCCAGAGAGTCACTGGAAGGTTAAATAAGACCACGCACAACCACATTTATCTCATGCCATGTCCAATACGTAGACAATACTCAACACTTGCTATTGGGGTGGTCGTGTGGACTCAGGATGTTTTCACCACTCCTCTTGACCCATTCAAGACTCAGACTCCAATATATAGACATGGCCACGGAATTTTTTTATACTTAATACAAAAATTTTGCTGATCATTTCCCCATTCTTTCCCCAAAGCTTCCCCCTTTTCCGTAATATACAGAAAGTCACAAATAACCTATATTCCAATGTAGAGTGTCTACGATTAACTGATGGAACCAAATTCATGTCAGACTACAATCTTTCAGCCAGGAAAGCAGCTGGACAAGTGCAGACTCCCCCAGAGTTTACATCTTCTTCACAATGACCTAGGACCCAAATCACACAGTTTCTGGCCTAAACCCCTCTCTTGTCTGCACCAGGAAGACACCACTGCTGCTGGCAGAGCCATGTGCCTACTCTGTGCTGGCCAGCCAGGAGGAAGGGAGGCTTGGCCACAGGGAAACAGTGATGCAGACATATACACGGATGCAGATGCGTACTGCTCTGGGCCTCCTGGCGGACAGAGGTACAGACTTGGAACACACTTCAGATGAAATGACTCTAATGAATACTGAGCATGGAGAGAGGTCCCAGCTGAGACCCAGTCATCAGAACTAAAACTCTGTAGCCTCCTAGGCCACTGAAGAGTGCTCTGGTCTTTAAAATCCTCAGCCCTCCAACAACCCAATACCAATCAAGCCCTGTGTGTCCCTTTGTTAGCATCGCCTAATACACCAACCCAAACTCAGTGGTTTAAACCATTGATCATGTGTTTAGTCTCAATGCTTTGGGTTGAGCCTTGGGTTAGACTTGCTTGGGTTGAGCTTTGGGTTAGACTAGGTTCAGCCACGTGGTCCTTCTGGTCTGGGCCAGGCTTACTGGTCGTGGCTGGGCCTTCTCGTGTCTGCATCAGCCAGTAGAGAGTCTCTACTTTTCATATGACTGGAGCCTTGGTTGGGGTCACGGGACCTGCTGTTACCTGCATGTTTTTTTATCTTCCTGTAGATTAGGCTAACTTGTTGGCATGACAGTCACAGGCCTCACAGAAAGGAAACACATAGGACTTCTTGAGGCTCAGCTCTGTTGCTGACACATGTCTTTCCACCATATACAGTTGACCCAAACCCCAAGGCCAGTCCAGACTCAAGAATTGGGGAACTGAGCTGTGAAGTCACATTGCAAGAGATGTGGCTCCAGGGAGGGGTGGAGAATTGGAGCCCGTTTTTCATCTGATTGAGTTCCTATGTGGAACTTGAGGCTACTGGACCTAGACTCAGCCATGTCTAGCTCCCTGACCTCTTTCCACATTTACATCTCTCTCCCTGGTTGACTTTTGTGTCCCACCCAATTTAGATTATGGATCCTTTGAGGACGAGGTCATAACCCACTCCTTTTAGTGAACTCTCCACTTGCAATGCCTTCCTGCACCTGGTACACCTGGCTCCTCTCAGGGGGCATTTTTTACATGGCCCATGGGGTAAGGTGCTAACAATAGAAAAAACAAAATAAGTTTTAAGTTTGGATGTGGAGAAATGTTCCCAAGTGATGCCCTTGTAAAGCAATCTTGAATTATCCCAAAAGCCATCCCAAAAGCAAGGGATCTGGGTGCCTTCCCTTGCAAACCCCTCCAACTGGGTGGCACCTGGTGATCTGGGACCACCAAGCCTCTACTGCTTCTGCACACCTCAAACAAGGGCTCTGGGCCCTGGGGAATGGCAGGGCTTAGCACCTTGTTTAACAGGAGCATGATTCAAAGCCTGTATGTTTTATTCTCTTTCACTTCACTAAGATGAGCAAACCTTATTAATAGGGCTGGATGAGAATCAAAATCCTCCAACAGACATTTCAACAATCCTGCATCACCTGGAAAAGTCACGCCATCCATCTATGTGAAAACCTTCCTGTTTCCAAATATCTGCGAAGGGGGTGATTCTTAACAGGCTGGCCAAGTTTGGTCAGTCTGACCCTCAACCTGTGGGAGAAATTATTGCCCATGTAAAGGCACTTATCTAAAAACACCTGTTAGGAAAACAAAATAAATTCTCCAAAGAAAAAAGAAAGAAATGATGGAATCAACTCATCACCAGACCCACTGTCTCTCCAAATGTCAGTTTGAAATCTTTCATGTCAAACTCAGAAAAATATTTTTGCTCACTTTTTCACCCTTTCTCTGCTTTATCAAGCTAGATGGAAAGAAACTTTATTTGCTCCAAGAAGACAATGGCCTTATCTTCCACCTAGATCCTCATCCCTGCAAAGGTGGCCTCCTCCGGGAGCATTTTCATAGTGCGGAAAAGCAGCTCGGGAGAAATAATGAGCAAGCAAAGGGAGTCTTGACTTGACACTGTGATAAATGAGGTGAAACTTTGCCAAGGAACCGGAGTTGGCGTATTCAAAAAGGAAATAAAAAGATAGTTCCATTTTAATAGGAAATATAAAACAGCCATTGTGCAAAAGTCGATTTTTCAAAAGCCAAAGAGATAAAGACTATAAGGGAATGACTGAGAACTGAGTGAGATAATGTGGTTGATAATCAGGCTGAGGTAAAGTGCCATCCTCCAAGCCATCAGCTGGCACTGCGGGAGAGCCTTTCAAGTTTATTCTCTGCATTTGCTCCTGCCTCATTATCATATGCATCTCAGGACAGTTTCCTTATAGCTTCAACTTGCCAACTTGCCACACTCCCGCCAGCTGAAGAGAGCAGAGTCAACCCAACTTTCTTCAAATCTTAAACTTGTCTCCCTGAGCCATAGAGCTTCCCAGCTGCCAGAAAACAAAGTGCTGGGGTCCAGTCTTACACACATTCTTCCCGATGGACTGGCCTTGTGTGAGGTTCTCAACTCACGGCCAGCCCCGACACTGCTGCCCTTCAGCAGACAAGACCGTGAAACTTCTCAAGCTTGTCATTGGGTGATTCTTAATTAGCAGACGGGTATTGAGTGGAGATGGCTGGACCCCTTCCCCAAGGGTAAGCATGAAGATACCTGAGGCAATAAGGCCATTGAAGAAGATGAGAATTGGGGTCAAGCCTGTGCAGTTGGTGATTGACTGGGGACAAACCACCTTAGCTCACATCCTGCCTTTTGTTAGTGATGTGGCAGAGAGCAAGTTACTTAACCTTTTTCAGCCTCAGTAGAGATAATAACACGACTCCTGAATTTTTATGAGACTAAAAAAGATGGTTAATGTGAAGTGCTTAGCACATAATAGAAGCTCAATAAATACTCTTAGGTGACTCTAAATACACAACCAGGAGCAGTGTGATGTGACGGCCAGAAGGCGGTAAGGATTTCCTTTAACTCTGTTAAGTTATGGTAACTAATAAAGCTCCACTGAGAAATGTCATTCATAGAACCACCCAACAAGTCATGTTAGTGCCCCTGGACCTGGCCCCAGCAGAGCCCACCTAGAGCTCTGAAGACCCAATCATCTTCCTGGTATTTACCGATGAGAAAACCAGGGCACTCACAGCACAATTGGCTTGTCCAAGGGCCCAGTTAGTTGGAAGCCAGAACTTGACTTATCCCCATTTCCAACCTGGTGCTTCTGACCCTATCGAAGGCTGACTCACCGTGCTGGGTCATAACCCTCCCCTAAATGAACCTCATAATGCCTAGTACTCAACAGTATGGAGAGCTGGCAAGGCACACAATTCCTCCAGCAAGACTTTGAAATCTTCAGGGGGTGGGGGAAGGTGTTCAGCAAAATAAAATGCTGGCTTATTTGGGTCTAGTGATTACAGTTTCTTCTGTCCTGTTGCACCTGTGCAGACTGGACTCCCAGCCCCTTAGACTACAGCCAGGAGTATTACTACGAGGAAGAGGGCACCAGCAGCCCACCCACCTACTCTGACAACCCCGACTGGTACTATGAAGATGATGGTAGGTATTGAAGTGACTTGGGGGGCTTCTGACAGGTGCCAACACCCCAGGAGGGGGTTTATGAAGGGCCTTTCTTCGTTCTCCCTGGCCAACATCATAAAATAGCTATCAGAAAAATGACATAGTCTGACTTCTCTTCAGTTAGAATCAAACACTGTGAGGACTAGTGTGGTTCTCAGGAACCATCAATCTCTTCCCGCATCAGTCTCTCCCACCCTCAAGCGACAGACGGAACAAGGAACACCACGAGGGAAGTGGACTTAGCCAGGGTCCTAGAGAGAGTTACTGTATCACTATCCAGGTCTCCTGACACTGTGAGTAGGAGTCATGTTCAAAATCATCCCACAGCCTTGATGACAGGGAGATAGATCCTAATTCTGCAGAAGAATCTGAGCGTGCATAAGGCCAGAATCCTTTCCTTTTCACTTGTCTATGTTTTTCTTTCACTTTTTATTCTTTAGCAGCTTTGCACAGTTGTGTGTGTGTGTGTGTGTGTGTGTGTACTCACATATATGTGCTTCCATTACCCTTGTTTTTGTTTTCATGACTTCTTAACCCGAGCAATGGGACAGAAAGGAAAATTGAGAAGCTGGGCCCAAGCGAAGCCATGTGACTCAGGCAGCAGAAGGAAGGGAAGGCACTCAGCAGCGGGAATAAAAGCTGTGTAACTGTGCGAAGTGGCCTGGAAGGCAGGGCCAAGATACAGGGCACCAGGGGAACATCAGAAGGGACCATCAAAACAAGAGCCAGGCCCCGGGATCCTGGTTCCTGAACCAAAGAACAATGTGTGTGAACAGAAGGATAAAGAATTCCCCAAGGGACGATCCATTCAGGCAACCATGAAAAGCCAAAGGCACAGATGAAATATGACAAAATCTAACTGAACAAGTAGTTGAAGAAAGATGAAGGCCACTGGGTCATTTCCTTCTCACCGTCAATTCTCTGTCACCCTCTTGCCTTTGGTCTTCTTGCCTGATGTTCAGAAAGCTTGTGTTTCATTAGGGGTGGGTTTTCTTTCCCACTCCTGACCTCCACCCCTGGGCACTGGGAGTAGGGGAGGTCTCCAGGCTTGTGAAATGCCTTAAGCATCAGAGACAGACCCCGTGGCACTCCCAGCAAGACTGGGAGGAGAAAAACACTGATGATGGAAAAGGAGAGTTTCTCAATGAGAAAGGCCCCAACTAAAGCCCGGCTGAGGCGTTGCTATTGCTTCTTACTCCCCTGAATGCCTCTCTGGTGTGTGAATGTGGTGAATGCACTTTTCCTTGCTCGTTCAGGCCGTGTGCGTTTCCTCCTCTTCCTGGTGGCTGGCTACACAGTTACTGTCCCACTGGGGGTGGGAGACGAAGTTCAGTGGGTCATTGGGGGCATCTCACCTGCTGTTCATTGCAAACATTGACAAATCCTGCCCCCCGTCTCTTAGATCCATGCCAGTCCAACCCCTGTGAGCATGGAGGGCACTGCCTCATCAGCGGGGACAACTTCATGTGCAGCTGCCCGGCCCCCTTCCACGGGAGCAGGTGTCAGAAGGGTGAGTCTGCCTGCACAGGCTTCCTCTGAGCTGAGCTAGCTGCGGTTGCATCCCCAATGCTAGTGGGTAAGGAAGGGCTCAGGGAGCCCACAGAGAGGACTGGAAAGTTGAATCGTGCATCTGGACTCCCTGCCGTGGTCACAGGAAGCACCTCCTGCAATCCTCACCCACTCGGGTTAGGAGGGACTAGTGGGTCTGCTCTGAGGACAAGAACCTTGGGCCTCAGAGGAGGAGAGAACAGAAGTATGACCCCGATGAACTGCAAACTCGAGACTCTTTTTTGTTATTGTCTAAAGCATTTAGACTAATTGCAACAGAGAATTACTGTTCTCAAATAGGAGCGCGGGAAAGATCCAAGGGACGTAGGGCCCAACTCAGGAAAAGAATCCAGAGCCTGCACAGAACTTGTTCAAGGTCACACAGCTTTAGAGAGAAAAACAGAATTAGAGCTCTGGTGTATGGTTCCCGGCCTTATGCCTTTTCTTCCTGCCATCTTCACGCAAGGAGACTCAAATAAAAGCTATCTCTGGCTTTAGTAATCTCTTGGGGGACATAGAAATGGAGCTCCAATGGGCTAATTCATCTGGACTCTCTCTGGAGTGCTCATCAAACATTTCACTTACACATGCACACATACATGTATGTATATTAGAGAGAAATATGTAAAACTTCTTTACGGTTGACTTCTTTCCTCTGTTCCCCTGTTCCCACTTTGCTTTTCCTTCATTTTCAATCCTATCCATCCTCTAGTAAATGTTTCAGGATGGTTTGGGCTATCTGGTTCATCCCTTGACTTTTCAGAAGAATGACCAAACCATCAATGCAATATGAAATCAGCTGTAACATGGAGAAACTCAGATTGTGGCTCTGTTAGTTGAAAGTGTAAAAATGTATCAAGATTTTTATGGAGACAGAAAAAAAAGGGCTATGATGAAACCACATCAGTGCAGTTCCTGTGGCACCATGGTGAGCACACAGTACTTAGGAGAAAAATAAGGGCTATGGACTCTAGAAGGAACTGGAAAGCAATCATCCATGACCCGAGGATAAGAGAAAAGCCTTGAGGGGCTGGGAGGGTGGGTGATGGTGTCTCGAGGCCATGGACAAGGACCTGTGCTTTGACCCTTCTTCTCTGTGGCTCTCCTGCAGCAAAGACCAAGTGCGCGAACAACCCATGTGGCAAAGGGGAATGTCTTATTACTCAGAGTCCTCCCTACTACCGCTGTGCTTGTAAGCATCCCTACAGGAGTGCAGACTGCTCTACAAGTAAGTGCTGACGGCCCCTTTATTCTAGGCTTTCTCTGCTTGTCTTGTGGCTGTGTCCAGCTACATCTGCATTTTAGTGGCATCCAAGATGGCCCCTTTAAGACTTTATAAGATGTATCATCAGTGCAGAGTCCAGTGGGATCTGTATCCCTTTCCATTCAAAAAGAATTATCTTGAGGGCCTCCCTGGTGGTGCAAGGGGTTAAGTCTCAGCACTATGAAGCTAGTGGCAGCCACTGAAGCTTGAATTCGATTCCTGGCCAGGGAGCTGACCCACAGACAGTGCAGCAGACCTCTCCTGTCTCACCCGCTGCTCCCCTCTGCAGTGTATTTCAGTGGATCCACCTGTTTTGCTCCCTGCTCTCTCTGGTGAATCCTCTCACCCCTACACCTCTGGCCTATACCCCATAAATAAAATAATTTTTTTTAAAAAAATTATCTTGGAACTCACTTCCTCCAGGAAATATACCCTGGTTTGTTCCTGGACTGGGCCTTATAGGGGCATAAATCTATATTTAGACATTACTATGAGTCAGGCATTGACCCAGGAGATTTACACTCTTACATTCTCCCTCAAACACTGCAAGGGAGAGTTTTTAAGATGAAGAAATGGGAGTTCAGAGAGGTTACCTAACTTGTTTGTGGTCACACAGCTAACAAGGGGCAGAGCCAAGTTTCAGACTAACTCAGAGTGGCCCCCAAATTCCTGTTCAGTCCTTGTCTCTTGCCCTTTCTCACTGGCTGATGCATCTACTTAACTGTTCTTTTTGGCACGACCTCCATCATATTGTTTCGTCCGTATTTATGTTCTCAAGGTTTGTATGTGTATTTCTTAGCGCATCAGTGGGTCTGTCTTTTCTTTTGGTGACCCATCTTTTGTGAAAGTTTGGGCACCAGAAGAGTGCCACCAATATCTCCTCATCATCTCAGAGGTAGCTGCAACTCCTTCTGAAGAATCTTCCTGGCCCCACTTCCTGTGTTCACAGCAGTTCCTGCGTGCAGGCCAAATCCTTGCCAAAATGGTGGTACCTGCTCCAAGCATCGGCGGAGATCCAAGTTTACCTGTACCTGTCCTGTCCAGTTCAAGGGGAAATTCTGTGAAATAGGTATGGGTCTCTGCCACCACATCAGCAGAAACTCTGGGCCACAAGTGAAGCTCTTGGAATTCTTTTCTGTGAGGTTTCTGTTCCCAGAATGGGGTTCAAGTCAAGATTCCCAAACATTGCTGTTAGCTCAGTCTTCCAACCTAAGGGCACTGGGTGTGTCTGGGATGTACGACAGGCAAACAAGACATACCCGGGCATCCCCGAGACCTCACAGTCCACCTGCCACCAGTTCTCGTGTGAGTCCAAATTGAGGAGCTACGTTCCCATCCCCTCCCCCACCCCACAACCTCTATATTTCATATTTTTAAGTTGAATTGAATGTGTAACGTTCTTTCTGGGATTTGGGGATAAAACCTCCAGGTGATCAATATTCAGGCCAAATCCTCTCACCATGAAGTATACCTGCCAAGTCCTTTTCAGGTGAAGCATGCTACTTGCTCTCTCCATCTTGCCTGCTCTCCCCAAGGTCCTGAAGATTGCTATGTTGGTAATGGCAACTCTTACCGAGGGAAAGTGAGTAAGACAGTCAACCAGCACTCATGTCTTCACTGGAACTCCCACCTCCTCTTGCAGGAGAAGTACAACATGTTTATGGAGAATGCTGAGGGTCATGGGATTGGGGAACACAACTTTTGCAGGTAAAAAAAAACAGGGTTCACATTTCTTCTTCCCTAAGCTGTCTTGGCCATTGTCAGTGTTAGTGCTTGGTTACCCCATTCCACTGTTCCCCATATTCCTGGACCAACTTGAGAGTTTTGGAACAGAACAGAAATTCATGAATCTTCTCTGCAGAAGGATTTTCCTACTCAGGACTGGTTAAGTTATACTGCTGTAACAAAGAACCCCCAAATTCCAGTGATGTGAATTTATCAAAATTAATTTCTCATTTAATGCTACATGTATCATGTAGGTTGGTGGGGGGGTGTTGGGGGAGGGGATTCTGTTCCTCAAACTTACTCAAAAATCCAGGGAGGGCAAAAAGAGACTGAAGAATGGAACATGAATTTCTTACTATCTCAGCCTAGAAGTGACACATCTCCTCTGCACACATATTTCATTAACTAGCGTTTCGTGGTCTCACATAATTTCAAGGGAGAAACATAGAGAAGAAAATGTAATGTCTGGTAAGCACTGCAATCCCTGCCACAAGGACATTCAGATTTTCTCAAAGATAAAGTCCTTATTCTCGCTGGTGATGACAGTGGGGTACCCTCCTACTGCTTCCTTCCCTTCTGCTGGCTTCCTCCCACGGCAATTCCTGTAGCCAGGGTTTAGGAGATGCCCAGAAGGAGAAAGGGTTCTTTGTGTGGTTTTAAACTGGATTTATTAAGCAAGATGGTTTCTCATGCACAAAATGCAATTTGCCTTCTACTTTCACTGACTTTGAGTTGTTTACTCTGGGGAGCTGTCTTCAGGATGATCCTTTTGGCTGCCTTTGGCTGAGAATTCTAGTGTGTAGAGTCTGGAGGTTTGGGCAAAGGAGCCCTACTCTCACCACATTTCTGTGGTTTTTCATATTCCCGACAAAGGGAAATCATCAGCAGAGTTCACAATTCTATTCCCGCAAAAAATCTGTCCTGTTCCATGGATCTGGTACAAACCTCGGTCATTGGGATTCTTCTCTGGAAACTGAGGCCTTACCAAACAAACCAAAACAAAAAACTATGACCACCCTCCTATGCCGGGGTTCGTGGATCTACTGGAGGGATAGAATGGAATTTGGTCCCAAATACGGGGAGTACAAGACCTTAGAACTCTCTTATTCAAAGTAGTGTGGGTTTATCAAGCCTCGACCATGGGTTACTTTCTTGTGTATTTTAGAAACCCAGATGGTGACCGAAAGCCCTGGTGTTTCATCAAAGCAAACAGTGCAAATGTGAAATGGGAATACTGTGATGTCACAGCCTGCTCGGCCCTGGGTAAGACCTGCTGCCTGGAGGCCCCAGGGGTGGGAGGTTGCATGCCTGCATACAGAGGTTCCTGACACCCCATCTCTCCCACCCCAGTCCCTGCACCCCACCTGCTCTACAATCCCCATCCCAGCACTACCCAACTGTCAGATCCCCCCTCCTCTCTCTGCATGCTGGGCAGCCTCGGATGCCTTTGTAAACTCAGTCAGAGGCCCACCTCTAAACTCACGCTTCCTGACATCAGGTCAGTGAACTCAGCAAATATTTATCAATTGCTTGCTGTGTCCTCGCCACTAGGCCAGGCCCTGAGTGCACAGTTGTGATCAAACACTGGCTGGATCCCATCTCAGGTTGCAACATAGTCTGAATTCCAGTCATAGAGTCCCTCTACCAGGCTTTCTTGGCTCACTTCTCTACCCAAGTCTGGAACAATGCACCCTCCATCCTGACCTGTGGGATGACTTGGACAATTTCACTCCTGTGACTGTTCTCAGTTCATCTATAAGACTCTACCCCATATATGCTTTTGCCCATACCCAACCATTTTCCAGTATCCCTCCCCTTCCAGGAAGTCCTCCATGGTCCCTCCAATGAATTGTTTTCGCTCCCTCCTTATATGATACACAGAATGGAATGTAGAGCCACCCATAAAATACTTGTTGTTCTCCCTTCTATATGAAAGACATCTTTTCCCTCACTCTTTTCCTACTCCATCTTCCCTTATGCAGTAAAAATATCCCCTAAATATGTGTGCATTGGCCAATAGCTGAGCACACACCCAGTATAGAGATATTTATTTATATATACATCTTTGTGTGTACACACGTCAGAATGAGAAGAGCAACATTTTCATCATTAGCTCTGCAGACTTGCTTTATATCAATCAATGTTTTCCTCAGGGTTTTAATTGTGCACCTACTACACGTCCGCCCTGCAGGTACCAGTCTCTTAGCTCTGGACACTTGTTAAGCGACTGGACTCAGTCATAGCCTGATGAGTCCTTCCAAGGAACTGGAGGGAGGCTGAGTGGCATGTTTTGTCTTTTCTTGTGTCCCACAGACATTACTGGTCCAGAGGAAAGCCCCATGGAGTTCAATCCGGGGTTTAACTCCTGTGGCAGGACTGAGATAGAATTGAAGATCAAGAGGATCTATGGAGGCCAAAAGAGCACAGAGGGCAAGCACCCTTGGCAGGTGTCCCTGCAGACTTCAGTGCCCTTGACCGTCTCCATGCCCAAAGGCCACTTCTGTGGGGGGGCCCTGATCCACCCCTGCTGGGTGCTCACTGCCGCTCACTGCACTGAGTAGGTGCCTGCTTGGAATGGAAGCCAGGGTGACTCAGGTCTATGGGGGTTCTCTCCTCTGAGCAGCATGGTGATGGTTCTGGCAGGATTAGGGGTTCTGACCTAGTTTCAAGGGCAAAAGAGTGCCTTTCCATCTCTAAAACCAGATGGAAAAGAGCTAGCATGGCTAGAATGCTCACCCTGGGCACCACACATGTTATGATATTAAATCCTCAACTCTCTGCTGGAAGCAACTAAGAAAGGACAGGGATTCCCATCTGTTTTATTCACTGCAATATCCCCAATGCCTCGAGCAGATCTTCAAGGAACAAGAGCTCAGGAAATATTTGAAAAGTGAAAGAATTGTTGATGGTTATTTTCATTTCATAAATGAGAACCTGAGTCTGAGGAAGGTTCAGCACCTGCCAAAGGTCATGTGGAAAGTAAGTGACGAAGTGATGAGAAAGACTTGAACCCAGATCTATTTGCTTCTTTGACCTCTTCAGTCCTGCCTCGAGCAGAGGAAGATAACATGCTCCAATCTGATCAATCACCGCTGAGCCTGAAGTGTCTTCTGTCATGGCTCCTGTGTGCCTGAGAGAAGCCAGGTTCCACTGGGGGGGGCCTGGAGAATCACCACCTCCCACATGTTGCCCAAGTTCATGGCCAGGGTTGCTCCCCTAGAGCCCACATTTTGATAGTGGCTTTACAGGTTTTCCACTCCACCCTGTTATTCCACAATTTCTCCTGGGATTCCAGAGTCATCTTCAGGAAAGATCAAACATGCAAATACTAGCATCTTCCAAGAATATTTCCAAGATATCAATTGATTGTTCTTTGGAAAAGCCCAGGGAAATAAAGAGACCTCCCAGGAAACATGTGCAACAAATCCCAGTTTACATTTGGAGACTATTCATTAGTAAAGCAGTTCCCTCACATTATCTTATCTGGACCACAGTTCGGTGAGCAAGACGATGCTTCCATATGAGAATGCAAAGGAAGCTAAATATTGGGTCATTTGTCAAAGGTCACACGGCTCACCAGGTCGTTTTCCTGACCATCTTATTTTCCTTCCCAGAATAAAAGTCAAATATCTACGAGTGGTGTTGGGAGACCGGGATCTGAAGACGACAGAATTCCATGAGCAGACCTTTGGGGTGGAGAAGATATTCAAGCACAGCGGCTATAATGAAAGAGATAAGATTCCCCACAATGATATTGGCAAGTCTCTTCTATATGGACCTTTATGGGTCTTGTCCTGGGTGGATCTCCCTACAGACAGAAAGCTGAGGTTTGGTTTCTAGAAGGTGCTCATGACTTTTTTGGTCCTTTCTAGATGCTGAATGGTAGAGAATTTATTCCAGAGCTTGAAGTTTCTAAAGGTCTGCATTGAGGTTGTGGATGAAGGTGCACAACCTCTTAAATTGAAGAGAGGAGATGCTAGGGATGCTGTGTTGTGGAAAGAGCACATCCTTGGATTCCAGCTCCTCCACTTATCAGCCAGACTCACCTCTCTAAGCCTCAGTTTGTTCCTCTAGAAATATAATGGGAATTGATATACAGGTCTTGGCTTCCCATGTGTTAAGTGACATGATTTGTCTGCAGACATGATGTGCATGTGGGAGGTGCTCAGGTGGAGACCGCAATGAATTTATTCTTCTTGCTTCTCATTTCTGAACCCCAGCTCTCCACTCCTGGGACCTCTTTCTCTTCTTTCTCTATATATCCATCCCCCACCCCATGAAAGCCTGTGTATTGGAAGTATAAATTAGAAGTGTTTCAAACTCAGATATTCTATCTTGATATTACTCTCAGGTAGAAGTTAAAAGAATGAAATGGCTGAGAAAGAAGTTGGCAGGCACTGGGACAAGATGATAGCAAGACTGGGGACTTGCTATCAATCAGTTAAGATCATTTCAATTAAGTTGAAGCTGATGCTTGTTTTGACAGGGAGGTGATGACCATTCATTTCCTCTTTCGCTCTGTCTAGCTTTGCTTAAGTTAAAGCCAGTAGATGGTCACTGTGCTGTGGAATCCAAGTACGTGAAGACTGTATGTTTACCCGAGGAGCCATTTCCCTCCGGGACTGAGTGCCACATTGCTGGCTGGGGTGCTACAGAAACAGGTGAGTCTGGCTGTGCATTCTCCTGAGATTCAGGTGAGTTACATCAACCAGAAAAGAAAGGGTCAAACTCAACCACCCTTCTGAACTTGAAATCAATGTTATATTCAAAATGTATTATCAAAAGAAAGAGATGGCCTCATCTCTCAAGCCCTGCTTAAATCTCATCCTAGTCAAAGAGTCTCCCCCGATCTCTCCAGCAGTCCCTGCCTCCTACCCCTAGATCCTGGGCTTTCATCAACAATTGATTCTGTGTCCCTGCAGACCTTTCTCATTCCCTAGGTAGATTAGAGAGAAGGTGGATTTGGAGTCAGGCAGTCTTATGTTAGGTTCTTGTCTTTCTCATTTGGACATTTCTTTCCAAATGAGAGTCTTCCAGGTTTGGAATCTGGACCACAGGAGATGACGGTCTATAAGGACCTTCATTAGGGCAGCCCCTGGAGGGCAGAGTCAGCTCTCATTCCTCTCTGTCTCTCCCACAGTTCTTTGATGGAGGTTTTCCACATAGTAGGCATTCTATTAATTTTGTTAAGTCAAATGATCAATTTATCTCTAGAATTTGGTGTTATCTTTAGAAGTAACCAAAGGGTTACTTCCCTCATAGTACTGACAAACCTGTATCTTTTGATTCAAAAAAATTCAGAATGTCCAGTATTGCACATCATTCTCAAATACTCAAAATAGGTTTATTTCCCCATGAAATCTTGTATCTAATAATGAAAAGCAAAACATCACTTGACATGGGTCTATATTGATAAAGAAAGTGAGATGGAACAGACACATTTTTCAGAAAGCTTTTGGAAAGACAATTTCTGTCGAGTTGGATTTAGGGTCAACCAGAAAGCTCTTTTTGCAGCTATTTCATTGTAGTTCATCTAAACCTTTCGATGTTAGATTGATTTTGAAAAGAGGAGATTGAGCAGGACAGAGGTCCATTGGGGTGAAAATCTGTGCTTGGGGATGCGGGTGATCTAGATGATCAACCAGGTACTTGATCCATCAACAAGAATCTACTCTGTGCCAATCCTCAGTTGGGAATTTAAAAAATGGTTTAAGACACCATCCTTGCCCCTAGGACTGCACAGAGGGAGGGAATTAATGATTCTGTTCACCATTGTTAGCCAGCCTTGCAGGCGTGGACAGGCATGGTCAAGGCTGACGCCAAAGGACCCCCCTGCACTAGAAGATGAGTCTTTTCTGCCCATTTTCGAAAAATTATTCCTTCCTGAGCTCAGAGCTGGTGGCCTTCTTTTCCCTACTGCTGGCCTCTGGTGGGGTGAAGGCCACCCTGGTCCCCACAGCAGCAAGCTCTTCTTTCTGCTCCACAGAGAAATTGTCCCACGAGCTCCTGGATGCCAGAGTCAAGCTGATCTCCAACACCAAGTGCAACTCCCGTCAATTCTATGACCGCATGCTTGATGACAGCATGATTTGTGCTGGAAACCTTGAGAATCCTAGAAACGACACCTGCCAGGTCAGATTCCAAATGACACTTGGGGACAGAGAAGCAGGCAGAAACACTACTGGGCTCAGAGACTTTTAGAACCCTGGGCTGGGAGACAGGGTCAGAGGTCCACCTGCCCTAGAGGTAAGGCATAGATGGACATGCCCATTCTGATTGCTGAATTGACGTCAATCCAGGGTGACTCAGCATGGTAACCACTGGACGACTTTGCCTGCATTGTCTAGTATAATTTTCACAACACTCTGGTGAAGGAGATCTCCTTGTCACCATTTACGGATGCTTAGAGAAAATATCTGGGCCATTAGCACTTGGGTGGTGCTCTGTGAAATATGTCACCCTCACTGCTCTCTTCAACATCATCATCCTCACCCCCTAAATTAGGGGGTTAATGAGAACCAGGAACTGTCATATACTTTAAAATATTAATCCTCACAAGGACTCTGGTGGAGAGGTGAAGTGGGGGGAGTCCTGTTGCTACCCCAGTTTACAACATGAGCACCTGGTATCTAAGGTCAATGACTAGCAGGTGGGAGAGCTCGGTGTGGAGACCAGAAGACCCTCCCCCATGAACCATGTTGAATGTCTAGGCCTTGCTGCTGAAGCCCCATCCTCACCTATGTGCCCTAAAATGACAATGTCCAAACAGGGCACTGCCCTCCCGCACCATGTTCCTGCATAAGTAAGAGGTTGCAGGTCCTGAGAACTCCCAGTACTGCCAAGTGATGATGAGTCAGGACTAGGAGTCAGGCATAGGGTGAGACCCCAGTGCCCTGGCCCCCATCCTGCAGCTTCTCTGAGGAGCGCTAATGATTCAGGGATGCAGGCAACCTTGGCTGTTCTGCCTTAAGAGCCATGCATCGTGCATGACACAGTGAGGAACTTGTCACCACTTTCCAGGAAGCCCTCTATGGCTGGCTGGAGATTTCACCCCAATGCCTGCTGGCATCCCCTCACAGGCAGTGGGGTGTGTCTCCAAATGTGTTCTTACTCACATGTCCAAACTCACACATCTTTTTCCACAGGGAGACTCTGGAGGCCCTCTCACCTGTGAGAAGAATGGCACCTACTATGTCTACGGGCTAGTGAGCTGGGGCCTGGAATGCGGGAAGGTGCCAGGAGTCTACACCCAAGTAACCAAATTCCTGAACTGGATCGAAACCACCATCCAGAGGGCGTAAAGCTTCTAAGGTGCCTTCTGAGCCTCAGAGCCCATCCCCCGTAGCCCCAGCCAGGGCAAGGTCTTGCAGGCAGTAGAGGAGGCCCCCTGGAGCCCTTGGGGGGCCATGCACTGGAAACCCACACTCTAGCTGAGACCCCAGCCTGGGTGTCCAGGAGCAGCATCTCTCCCATGTCATCAAGCCCCCTCCTCAGTAACCCAAGACAGGATACAATCAGCCTGAATATGTTATGTTTGCTTCCCTCAAACAATTGTATCTTCTGGAAATTCAGGCATCACAGACTACCTCCACCTTGGACTTCTGCAAACAAGGGGCTGCAGAGCCTCCAGACCTGACTGGAGTGACTGCTGCATCTTTATTCCTCCTCCCAGATGTTCAAGGTTCACAACAGAGCCAGCTACCCATGCCTAGGTATCAGAGAGAGGACCAAAAAATACACCATTTTGCATCTGCTTTCACAGAATTGTTATTTTAATAAAGGTGGATCTGGGGAGGGGGTGGGCGGCATCTTCACATCTCACTCGGACTGAAGCATCTACACACGTCTCTGCCCTGCAAATTTCCTCTCTGGCTTCAGTGCCAAGGAGCCTGGGTGGACGTCGCTTGCTCACAACAGCAGAGCCTTCCTCCTTTTGACGTGCAGAATTTCAGTGGCATCTGGGTTCACATCCCCCCTCCGATTATATCCAGTCTCCATAGGCTCTGGCCCTCCCTGCAGAAATCAAATGTAGCTCCCTGAGTTAAGATGAAGCCCCTGCTCTGCTCCCATGGGACAAGCTCTTTAAGATGCCCTGGGAGCATTTAAAATATTCACCCTCCCTTTCCTTTTTTCCTCCACCTCCCTCCCCAAGAAAAAGGATCCTCAAGGCAAGAATGAGAAAGCAGCAAAGCCAATCTCTCATTTAGACGTGGTGTCTTTCTTCTGAACAAAGTAGGGTTCAAAACCCACACTGTTATAGCCAGCAAGTCCCTGACCCTTTCTGCAAATGTAACGAACAAGCAGTCGGCACAGCCCCAACTGCGGTGGCCCGGGATTGATGTAGCCCTCGTAGGTTTGTCTCCGCAGAACTAATGGCTGTGACTTCAGAGAAAACCCTGCGGGAAGTTTAACCCATATGTCATCCGCCTGGTCATCTCAGACCCGTGAAATTAGGCGCCTTGCTTAAGCTGCATTTCATACTTCTTTAGAGCAGCTGACCTTTGGCCAAAAATAAAGTTTGAAAAGAAACAATGAGTTTGCCTTTCCCAGTGGCCTTGCAGGTGGGGTGGGTTTGCAGCTTGCTACTCACATAAGCCCCCTGGAGGCCCAGGCCCCTCGCTTTGGCCAGTTCTGCAGCCCGCCGAGCCATTTCCACTTTGTAGGAGCCGGGAGGGGTCCAGCCAATACCTCTGGTCAGGTTCAAGTCTGATTTGTACTTGACCTTGGGGGGAAAAGGAAAGCAGGAAGACTATGTCAGCAGATTGGGGCAGCTTGGCCAGAGTGGATAGGATTAAAAAGGTAGTTGTGAGATGGGACTAAGCTGTCAACAAATCCAGGGAAGGGAGCCAATTTATCTTAAGCAGGACCACCCTGGCGCTGAGGACCCATGTGCTGTGAGTCTGTTGGCATGCTGCTGCCCCTTGTATCTTTCCATTCAAGAGATGGGAGCTGCAGTGGGGGCAGAGAGCGGGGAAAATCTGGTTCAAGTCCAAGCTCCTGCCTTAACCTTGCTCTGGGGCTTAGGGAAATGACTCCCCTCCTCTGGGCCTCAGTTTCCTCCCAGAGAAAGTGCAAGAGTTGGAAGCACTAGAGCTTAGCAATCAAGAGCTGTAGTCCATCCAGCCAAATGGAAGTCATTCATATTTCTTGTTTGCCACTTACTTGCGGTGTGATCTCAAGGTACTTCACCCCTCTTAAGCCTCACATTACTCATCTGTAAAAGGGGATGGTGATGTGAGTAATGTGGTTGCCAGGAGTTCGGGACACAAGGCTTGCCCAGCATTGGGCACAGACCCTGGCCCACAGTAAGGACTGGATAAATGGCAATTATTGCTATTCCTCCTGGCACTAACATATTGGGCATCCTGGATTCTGCCTTAGCCCTGCTCCTCCCAGAAGGTCACATAGAGTGTGATTATGTCCATCTCTTGTGAAGGGCAGCAGAGGCGGGGCCTCGGCAGGTGGGGAGGGGCAGCTCACATCGCTCTGTAGCTGGTGGGCCTTCTGCGCATGCTTCAGGCCCAGCTGCTCTGGGTCACTGGTGGGCTGCGGGAGGGGTTGCCTGTAGCAAACATCACTGGCCAACTGCTGGCTCCTCTTGGCATGGAGGAATCCGGGCTGGTCCAGACGGCTGTGGAACTGGGACTGACTCTTGGCAAAGTCCTTCTTATACTCATTGTCACTCTGGAGTTTGCTGACGTTGAGGAAATGCTTCATCCTTGGATCGTCGTTGACGCTGCGGTACCCGATCTGCAGGCCTCGGTCCCGTAGGAAGGCCTCTTTGTAGTGGAACTGCAGGTCAGAGGAGCAGAGATGGGTCCCAGGGGTCTACCTCCTACAGGGGCCGACCCAGGGGTTGCCAGCAGGGATTGTTTAACAGTGGGTCAAGGACACAGCTTTGGAGTCAAGTTGACCTGGGCTCTGTATCTCTGCCTGCTACCTCTAGCTGTGTGGCTTTGTGCCATCCAGTTTCTTTGCTCCTCAGTTTCCCCTCCTGATAAAATGAGAATAAACCTCCATCCTTTGCCATGTTGAGAAAATGCTTTTTTCTCAAAAAAAGGAGAGAGATGCTTCAAGATGGCAGCACAGGAAGTTCCTGGACTCACCTCTTCTCATAGATACACCAAGTATATAGCTAATTATGGAACAATTCTCTCTTTAAAAGATCTGAGAACAAGCTGAACGGCTCCTCCACATGAAGACACAAAAAGGAACACAGTAAAATGGGTGGAAGAGGCAGAGACATGGACTCCCCAAGAACCCCATCCCTAATTTGGCAATCACAAATCACAGGTCTGGGCACAGGAAGGCGCTTATAAATACGGAGCTTTTTCCTGAGGGGTGAGGGTTTGTAACCCCCATCAGGCACCCTGTCCCTTGGTACCTGCATCATAGAAAGAGGTTCCCCAAAACATTGAGCACTGAAAACCAAGGAGACCCAAAAGGTAGTAGGGAAGGGAGAGCCCACTCTTAAAGGTCAAGTATGCAGACTCACTCACCCAGGAGCCAAGGGTAAGAAGTAGCAATTTGAAAAGCACTCAAGCCATTCTTGAATTAATCATTAGTTAATCCTAAAGTATCTGCCAGAGTGGGTAAGGTCCATTGGAACTTTCTCCAGAGATAGATGGAGGCACTGGTGGTACCACATTTGTATTGAAATTCTATCTTCCTAGAGTTGGAGCTAGAGGGTGGCATTTTTAGCATTTCCCCTCTCTTGCTGGAGCAGCCCACCCCACCAGCCGACCACTTCACAGCTAAAGCTGGTGGAGTGCTCAGGTCAGGACACACTATCTTTGCATCTGCCTATGGTCTTGCCATCACTCACCAGAACCTCCCAGAAAGGAGATTATACCTTCATGTAGAACCCTGATTCTTGCAGCTATTCCCAAGGACATCTCCATAACACCAGATCAGGAGGCCATTTACATCCGCAGCCCCAGAGCACACTACATGTTGGCATACTTTAAAGGCTGACACCTGGGAGTCTGACCTCTAATCAGTCTGAAAGTTGATACTAAATGGGATCCCTCCCCTTGGAACACTAACAGGTCTGGGCATACCCTGAGCAGCTGGGACCATTCAAGTATAAACCTAGACAATCACAAAGTTTCAAGAGAGAACCAAAATCAGGACAAAGTTGAATAACAAGATTCAACACCTACACAAGGCCACTCTTTCAAGACGGGGAGAGGCAGCTGTTTTGTCTAATATATTGAAATAGTCAAGCAAAATGAAGAAATAGAGGAGTGTGTTCCAAATTAATGGACAAGATAAAATCTCAGGAAAAAGAGGTTAAAATTATCTAATTATTCATCTATTGGATGAATAATTCAAAGCAATGGTCATAAAGATGCTCCATGAGTTTGGGAGATGAATGGATGAACAAAGTGAGAACTTCACCAAAGAGAGAAAATGTAAGAGAGTACCAAACAGAAGTCACAGAGTTGAGGAATACAATAACTAAATTGAAGTAGAGGGTAGAGGGGTTCAACGAAAGAATCGATGAAGAAAGAGAATGGATAAGTGGGCTCAAAGACAGGACAGTGGAGCTCATCCAAATGTGGCAATAGAAAGAAAAATGAAGCTCGCTTAAGAGATCAACGGGGCAACATCAAGTAGTATAACATGTACATTATAGGGGTATCAGAAGAGGGGAGAGAAAAAGGCATAGCAGACTTATTTGAAAAAGTAATGGCTGATAACTAGTCCAGTCTGGAAGGAAATAGCCCAGAGAGTTGCAAAGAAGATTAACCCAAAGATAATCCCACCAAGACACAGTATGATCAAATGTCAGAAGTTAAAAAATCTTAAAAGCATCAAGAGAAAAACAGCATGTTACATTAAAGGGACTCCTGTAAGACTATCAACAGATTTTTCATCAGAAACTTTGCAGATCACCAGAGAGAAATGGATATTTCCTAGAATGCTGTAGTCTTTTGAGACCAAATCAGGAAGAAATAAAGTCTGAATAGACCAATCACCAGTAAAGAGACTGGATCAGTAATCAAAAAGTTTCCCCAAAATAAAAATCAAGGACAAAATGGCTTCAGTGGAAAATTCTACCAACATTCAAAGATTTAATACCTGTATTTTTCAGACTCTTTACCAAAACTTGAAGAGGAGGGGACACTTGCAAACTTATTTTATAAAAGCAGCATTACCCTGATAACAAAACCAGACAAGGACACCATACACACACAAATACAGGCTAATATTCCCAATGAACATGTGTGTAAAAATGCATAGATGTGTGTGAAACAGATAGATATATACAATACATTGAAAGGATCATATATCATGATCAAGTAGGATTCATTCCAGGGCATAAGAATGATTTAACATTTGCACAGAAATCAACATGATATAATACATCAACAAAATGAAGCCCCCAAATCATCTCAGTGGGTGCAGAAGAAGCATTTGACAAAATTCAATGTCCATTGATAATAAAAATTTTCAGCCAAGTGGTTTTAGAGGAAACGTATGTCAACATAAAAAAGGCCACATATGACTAGCCCACAGCTAACATACTCAAAGCCAAATGCCTTTTGTCTAAGATCAGGAACAAGACAAGCTTGCCCACTCTTGCCATTTTTATTCGAGATAATACTGGAAGTCCTAGTCAGATCAGTTAGGCAATAAAAAGAAATAAAAGGCATCCAAATTGGAAAGGAAAAAGAAAAACTTACTATTTACAGGTTACTTGATTTTATATATAAGACTCCACCCTTAAAACTGTTAGAACAAATGAAT